GCGCATTCGAAGACATCAAGTTTCCCCAGAGAAGGAAGAGCAGCGCTTCCTGAAGGTAATTCTGAAAATTCTGCATAAAACCAACCCACAATATGAAGACGTAGGATTCTCACAAAAACGTGAACTGATAGTCTTGGGATTGAGTACACTCTCACCATGGGATGTAACCTTCTGCGGCTACCCCAACCCCAACCTCAAAGGTCTAAGTATATTGGATGTTGGAAGCTGAAAATCCCACAAGAGATGTTATCAATGCGATAACTAATTAGTAAGACTGTTTAGGTTGAAAATGATCCCAGCAATTTCCGAACTTTGTTCTTCACAGTACAAAATAGGCGTATTTTCTTTGTAATGGCCTAGACTCCAGGAGTAGATGAGCTGACAGTCAACATGATTTTTGTTGCGTAGTTGTAACAGTTGCCTTCTGATTTCAATCTAAGTATAACAGGCCAAGGTGCTATCAACGACAGACGTGTGTCTTGAGGGTTTTTTGACAGTAAACATCGTGTGTCATTGGGAGTTCTAAAGAATGAGTACCCGATAGGATACCTGTTTTTGAGCAGGAATAGGTAATGGCACCTGCTACGATAAGAAATGCCATTAACGATATGACGTCATGTGATCGTTACATGACATGTTTTGTTATCCTACTCCAATCAACATAGACTGGGAGGGAGAAAATGTGCACGTACACGTCACCCACCTTCCTCGGCTGCCTCTGTACTTAGCCGTCTGTTGCCGAAAGGATAGGGAGGAAGCACCCACACAGAGTACCTAAGTATCTACCGTCCTTTGCCATCATCTGCCTGGTCAAACGTAGCTACACGTTTCTCTGAACACGTTGAGGCAGTGTGCTGTGCACGGGATCAGCCTCGTGGCTCCCTTATACTCAGGATGTTCACCTAAGTTTTCGGGCAGTTTAAACACTAGAGGAGCCTTTCACAACGAAATGCTTTATAGACTAGGGCTTGTGGTTGTTGAAGCCATTATTGTGATAACGTATTTTAAGGTGTCGATCAGACTGTGTTCTGGGAAGGAGTGAATACGCTCTGCCAGCTGCTGGATGCGATCGTCGAGACAGAAATGGAAACAGATTTCTTCGAGGGGAAAAATGTGCTTGAGGTTGGTTTCCGTTTTCGAATATTTCTTCAAATAGGGAGTCAGCAACGAAAGGCCGGATCTATAAACCACTTATCTGACGGAATGAGGCAGTTTAGCGTAGGTTGAGTGGAGAGGATAGGTCTTATAATAGTGTGAAATTCCTCCCCGTCAACACAGCGTCAGTGACTCTCCGTGGCTGGTCACCCAAAATGACTCCCAAAAAATGAGCGGAATTTCAAGTTTTTTATTGGAAATAAGGCTTCCAAATTCTCGCATTTCAGATCGGATTTGCTACTGGACTTCCATCTGTCTATGCTTACGAGAATGGCGCTGCTGAGGTCGCACTTCACAGTGCTGTAAGTTGTCGACTCTATTTTCCAACCATCTATACACAGCTTCCTTATTC